GCTCTTGTTGAGAGTTGAACTCAAAACTTCCGCGAGTAAGCGGGCGGTCCGGCTAAAGTGTCTTGCAAAAATAAAGAAAGATTCAGAAACTTGAAAAATGGAGAAGAAATGGAAGGTAAACTCAAATTGTAATAATAGACATTTGAGTTTCAGTAACCTCCTGTGACTTTAATGCTTCATTACTGGAATACTTCCCTATACGCTATCTGCAGAGAATAGAAAGAAACTAAATTTGGAAAAAGAAAAATTCTGTTGGAAAATATAAAAGAAAATTGGCAACCACATACGTGTTGCGGTTGGACTTGTTTCTACCCATGTTAGTTATCATTGAGTCAAACAGTTTCAACGACGGCCAGAGGCTTACTTATTATTGAATTAAAATAGTAAAATTGTAAACAAACCCCAACCAAGACTTAAAAAAAGAAATGTTAGTATCATATAAAATGGAATAGATAGTAGTTCTATTACGAGGAAGCTTATAAAACAACTAATAACTGCATCATCTCAGAACAGATGAGTAAAGGGCCATAAAGAGTTAAGTACGATTTCTCAATCTTGTAGACTGCTCAATCTGTATTTGTAAACTAGACCCATATAATAATATATTTTCATCAATATGCTTGTAGACTGCTCAATCTGTATTTGTAAAAATCTGTCTAAAAGAGAGGGACATTGCTGTTAGTTTCATTAGCGTGCATTGTGTATGATATACTAGTAGATATAGTATCATAGAGTCATTTTAAAAAATAAAAAAGTTACACCGTTACACTAATGTAGTATTTACTTCCAGGGTGGACGGAGAACTCGAGCTACACCGTTACAAGAATGTAATATTTATTCAAATAGTGTATTTGTGTTGAGAAATTTTTGATACATATGCAAATACTAGATTCAAAACTAAGTCATTAGTACTTGAAATCGTTGTTCTAAAATTTTGAATCCATAAATTTAAAATCCTAGTTTAGTCTGTGTTTACTTCAACTCTTCAAGTTTGTTTAGTTAACAAAAGAATTAGATTTCTTTTTTCCATTTTCCTTTCCTTGAACATGAATCATTGTTATTTTTTAAATTCTAATATTTGAAATTTGTTTCTTTTCATGTTTTACAATGGTACGTGATGCCACTGTATTCACATGGTATATGAGTAAACTTTAAGAGATTTAACTTTTTAGATTTTAATTTAATATCACGAGCAAATCACATCCAATTTATCATAGTTAAGTATTGAAAGTTTAATAATACTAAAAAATTTATGTTATATATTTATTACTGGTTTGCTGTAAACTCAGATTGTATTTCTTATTTATATATATGTATCTGGACACTTTTCACAAATCACAAGTACGCAATCCTCCAAACGCATAATTCCAGTATGCCATTTTGACCGTTAGCTGCTTCTACGCGATCATTTTCTTAAAAATTTAATGTAACTTTTAATATTAAAAGTTGGTAATTACAAAAGCAGTAAAAATAACGTACGTAGATGGTTAGTCTAGGTAACAATCTGAATATCTTGTCGACTTGGGTAAAGAATCTAACTCAAAAGGACAAAGAAGGGTAGCTTTTTTCAAAAGTAGTGAATCAGAATTTAAATACACTACGCAATAAAGATTCACCATAGGTTAAATATTACAGCGATATAAATATATTTGACAGAGACCCATCACCTCAGTCAAAGTACTTACTGCTGCTCTAGCCTCTGTTCTGATGACAGTAATAATTTACGCGGAGTCAGAAATTCACAAGACTCGGTTTTGGTTCAGCATTTTTCTATCCATATTCTAGGGTCTATCGGAAATAGATTCTATGCGCTCCTAGGATAAGGATAACGTTTGCGTACCAGAGGCGGACCCAGAATTTGGAGGTTGCGGCGATATTATGACATTCAATATAAATTTATTACTGTTCATATAGATTGGTACGGGGGTTTATGCTAATATCTGACTATTTTTTAAAGAGATTTGCAAGTATATTTGGAGTTTTTCCGAAGTTTTCGAGTGCCCATGACCCCTTACCTATAGTGTAGGTCTCCCTCTGTTGCGTATACATAACCCTCCCCACATCTCACTTGTAAGAATTCACTGAATTTGTTGTTGTTGTCGTATTTTTCTATTTATATTTCTGCTTCTATTTCATTTACCGTTGTCCCTTTTGTAGAAGTATTGTAGAGAGGGAAATGAGTGGGGAATCTAAAAGGCCAGAAATAAATACAGTATAGATTATTTATGTAGTGAAAAGTAATGTGACAATTGTTATTGGTAGAAATTGCTATACATTGATTGCTTGTGTTAAGTGTATTTTTTTATTTTATTTTAATCTAATCTTATCCATGTATTAGTAAATACAGTAATAAGAGAAAGATGATTTCTTATTATACTACACTAGAGATCGATATTGAGCCTGTAATTTTAGTCGGCATGAGCAGGGCACAGTTGAGGTGAGACTAGACAAGATTCTGGATAAGCTTGTCTTTTCAAGAAAATGGAATGATAAATAAGAATTGCTTATATAATTAAAACAAGATGATTAAAATGAAAAATACGATTGAAATGTAATTTTATCTTCTTAAAACAAAAGTGTCATATTAGAAATATTACAAAATACCACGAATAACATTTTATTGCAAATTCAATTATCTAAAAGATTGTTACGAGTAAGACAATTATTTAATCCTTCGAACAATAATAGTCATTCTTTTGTTTTATTTTATATGATTCTTTTTTAATCTTTTCGAAGAAGAATGACACACCTTATATCTAAGAATTCTATAACGTTATTTGTAATGACATACTCTTATAACTATAGAAATATTATAATATATTTTAAGATTTAAAGTTCTAAGAGTACTTTTAATACGTATAAAAAGTCTTTTTTTCTCTCTTATGTTTTGTACTCAATCATTGCGTCATACAAAAATGAATCTAAGGGAGTTTTAAAAGAAAGAGTTGCGTCAATATTAGTATCTCCGTTTACTTTTACTTGACACGTTTTGACTTTTTATACCCTTTAAGAAATAATAAATGAAGTGCATAGTTTACCATAATACCCATATTGATTGATGCATATTTTACTAAATTTGAGAAAATAATTTGAAATGAGTAATAAATACTTTGGGTATAACAAGAATTTTTTTTTGTCTTATCTTGACATGCGTAAAGTGACAAGTGAAAATGCAAATCTATTTTTAATATATATGCCAAGTAAAAGTGAACGGAGGGAGTAGTATATAATAGTAACCCAATCGGTTTAAAAACAAGTACTAATATATCTAAAATAAATTTACTCCCACCGGTTCACAATAAGTGTCCAATTTACTTTTTTATTTTGGTTCAAAATAAGTGTCCAGTTATGTAATCTAAAAAGAATTCAATTTGTTTTTACAAAATAACCACTATGTACATATCCCTAAAAAGTTTTCTTACTCCTCACATTAAATATTTAATTAAGAGTAATTTAGTCATAGTAGATATTTTTGTATAGAATTTAATATTTTTTTAATGAGCATACCAAAAGTAAATTAAACACTTATTGTGAACCGACGGAAGTATCACAATAAGACGGGATAGAGGACCACATAACTGGTCAAAGCCGTAGCTTATTTCGCATTACTCACCAAATAAATAAAGTAATAATAGTATTACTCCCCAAAATAATAACGACAAATACACGGATCGTAACGCCTGGGACTCTGTGACCCCACTCCTACAAAATTTCCTTTTCCCATAAAAATAAAAGACGACTGGTTTCAGTTTTCACTGTCACATTAACGGCTACTTTCTTATTTTCCCTCTTTCAATATTTGCCCACTTGTACTTTATTCTCTCTCTAATTTCTATTCATTAAATCCCTCTCTCTTTTGGCGGGAATTCATTATTGGTCCTACCATATTCCCCCAAATCCGTAATACTATCTAAAAAGTACACTACATAATTAGGAGTACAATTAATTATTTTTTCTTCTTAAATATTGCACTAATAATTTGGTACAACAAACAACAATACTCTCTCCGATCCATAACAAGTAACCAATTTGTTTTGGGCACACTCATTAAAAAAAATACTAAATTTTAGATGAAAATAGTTAGTGTGACTAACTACCCTTCATTAAATGTTACTCCATAATTATAGTAGCACTTACTTCTCTTCTCAAATGAAAGGAGTAAATGACTTTTTAGGAATACGTACATAAGGGTAATTTTGGAAAAACAAATTGAATTTTTTCTTGATTATATAAATGGACACTTATTTTGGACCAAAATAAAAAATCAAATTGGTCATTTATTGTGGAACGGAGGGAGTAACAACATACCATGTATAATCCCACGAGTGAGGTTTGGGAAGGATAGTGTATACACAGACCTTACCCCTACCTCGTGGAGGTAGAGAGGCTGTTTTCGAAGACCCTCGGCTCATGGACGCACTAATAATTTGGTGTAAAATAAAAATAAAAGTCGAGCAAGTTTGAAAGAGATAAAACAACATGACCTTAGACAAACCTTAGGATTATTGATAGAGGTGGAGCCATGATTTGAACTTTATGGGTTCTGAACTTGCTTAATCGTAGCTCGTTTTAGTTACTGCATTCGCAATTAAATAATTATATGTTTTAATGGATTTTCTAATACAAATACTAATTCATTTGAAATCGTAGCTAATATTGCAGCTCCACCGACTACTAATGGTTGGTGATATTTATAAAAATTCAATTAAGAAGATTATTATATTTTCGTGCTAAACGCTCTCACAAAAGTTACTCACTAAGATTTTAATTACGTTGGTCAATAACATTATCCATTATCTTTTGATATGATTCACACATTTTATTATCAATTTCAACAGAACAATGTGCCTAATGAATTATACATTTGCTCCTGCTTAAGTATAATCTGTTGAGGTTTTTATTTGTAAACACAAAAGGGTCAAACAATTGCAAAACCCTCTGAGGAACTGAAGTTTAATTAATACATGCACATGAATAATTAATCACTCTAGAATAAACAATGTACAAACTTTTGTTTTTCTTAAAAGAAACAAACTTAATGACAATGAATGACAATTGAAGAGATACATGAACATTGAACTAAGCAAATGAAGGAAATTTTCTTGAATTTGATTCATTGGATCTTGAAGTTTCCTTTAGTGGGAAAAAAGAATTTGAATTTTCATCACATTGGTGAAGGAAGAGTTGTAGGATCAGCTGAAGAAGGAATATCAGGACCAACTCTGCAACCTTCAAGCATGAATACAACATCAGTCATTGATGGTCTTTCTAAAGGATCAGGCATTGTGCAAAGCAAACCAACTTTAACTCCTAACAAAAACTCTTCCCATTCTGATGATTCAGGGTCCAATTCAAGCAACCCCGGCTCGAGCAATTCTGAAATTTGACCTCTTTGTAGTTGTCTCTTTACCCACTTGACAATGTCCTCGTCCCCGTTGAACATTACTGGTTTCCTTCCTGTTAGTATCTCTAACAGTACGATTCCGTAACTGTATACATCAGCTTCTTTTGTAGGTATTCCAGTTAATGTTACTTCAGGTGCTATGTAGCCTAGAGTTCCGACTGGGGTGGATGATGTTGAAGCCTCTACTGGTGTTGCTACTAGGCTTAGTTTATCTAAACCAAAATCAGAAAGATGGGCTTCAAAATCAGCATCAAACAATACATTTTGTGGCTTTACATCCCCATGAACCACTGTAACTGAATGAAGGTAAGCTAAGCCACGAGCAATGCCAAGAGCGATCAGGTGGCGCATTGGCCAATTGAGGACATGGCCATCCTGATGAGATGCTTCTTGTAAAAGTGTGGCAAGATTTCCATTAGGCATGTAATCGTATACAACAAGCCGGACATCAGGTGGCGGTCCTGCGTAATATCCACGGACGACAGTCAGATTCCTATGTTTCACCTTGCCAAGGGATTCAGCTTCTTTGCGGAATGTGTTCACTTCAATTGACGCATCAGGAAGGCGACGGACAGCCAAGACCATTCCATCTGCGTAAGTGGCTTTGAATACCAGGCCATATTTTCCACGGCTCAACACATTTTCCTCATCAAATTGCCTTGTTGCTTCTAAGGTCTCTGCATAAGTGATCTTGTTGTTGAACATAACAAGCTTTGGACCACCATTCTCCCCACTTCCACGACCCCCTTCTCCTCCTGAGCTTGCACGGCCTGGGCTTCGCTTCTTCCCTTCAGATGCACCTCCTCTTGACCTCTTGTGCCAAAGTATAAGGCCATAGATGTACCCACAGCAACATACGGCCACTAGAAAAGCCCCTACTGCAGCCAATACAACAAACAAAATCAACTTCTTTCTTCTCCTCTTGCCTTTATTGCACTCTGTCAATGGCTTTCCACACAAATCTTTATTGGCAGCAAATAAAGAAGGATCCTTGAACCGAGAACCCAACGCCTCTGGAATCTCACCCTCAAGATGATTATGGGAAACATTTAAGTATTTCAGGCTGGAAATTAGAGACAGATTTGAAGGAATTGATCCATTCAAATTATTTGAAGAAAGATCCAGCATTTCCAAGTTTGATAATCTTGACAATGACTCTGGTATGTGGCCTGAGATGTGGTTCGAATCCAACAAGAGAATATCCAAAGACAAGCAATTAGAAATGTTTTCGGGGATTTCCCCCCTTAAACCATTCTCACCCAAATCAAGCTTTGTTAGACGAGATAAACGTGAGAAATCCTCCGGAATTTGACCTTTTAAATGGTTCCTTCGAAGCTCAAGCACTCGAAGGCCAGAACAGTTGCCCAATTCAGCTGGAATCGAGCCATTAATACCACTATTCGACATAGAAAGCACTTCCAAGGATGTAAGGAACCCATATGTCTTAGGAATCTGCCCAGAAAAGGCATTAGATGACAGATTCAAATATTCCAAACCAGATAAACTGCTAAAACCCTCAAGAACATCTCCAGTTAACATGTTCTCTTGTAATGCAACAACTCTTAGACTTGGCAACCCAAAAATCTCAAAGGGCAATTCACCAGATATGTTTTGCTTGCTCATATCAAGAGTTGTCAGCCTCAACAAACTCCCAATACTACCCGGAATGTTCCCTGAAAACCCACAATTACTCACATTTAAAACCTCTAACCCATGCATGCTACCAATTTCCCTAGGAATTTCACCAGAAAACCTGTTACTAGACAAATTCAAAGTAGTCAAATTGCTAAGCAGCACAAGGTTTTGAGACAAACTACCATTCAACTTATTCATGCTTAAATCCAAAAACTCAAGCTGATAAAGACTCCCCAAACTGGCTGGAATCAGCCCAGAGAAATTATTCCTACTAACAGATAACATCCTCAAACTAGTTAAATTACCCAAGAACTGTGGAATCAAACCAGAAAACCTATTCCCACCAAGGTCAAGTACCCCCAATGAAGCAAGATTCATTATACTCTCAGGAACTTCACCAGTTAAGGTATTGTTAGCCAATCTAAGCTCCTCAAGAGACTTCAGATTCCCTATAGTATTAGGCAAAGTTCCAGTAACTGCATTCCCAGACAAATCAAGAACCTTCAATGACAAAAAACTCATCAACCAGTCAGGAAAAACACCATTAATGTGATTCCCGTGAAGACTCAAGACCTCTAAAGCACTTAAACACGTTGCGTTTGCAGGTTTAGTTAAACCCGTGAGTGCATTAAAATCCAACTCAATGATCCTAATAGCATGAGGAGCATTGACTGATGACCCATTACAGAAAAATGAAGCAGGGACCACCCCAGATAGCTGATTTCGCGACAGCGAAATTACTTGTAAACTCGAAAGTGAACCGATTGTAGCGGGGATTAATCCCTGCAGATTATTATCACCAGTGCTCAAGTGTATTAATGAGGATACGTTGGCTATTGCTGAAGGTATAGTCCCGTAGAGTTGATTAGAATCAAGCCAGAGATACTCTAACTTCTGTAAAGCTCCAATACTCGCCGGTATCTCACCGGAGAACCGGTTAAACGACAAATTTAAGAGTTCGAGCTGAGAACCGGCGGAGAAGTTAGCTGGAATGCCGCCGGAGAAGAGATTAGAAGAAAGGTCGAGGAACCGGAGACTCGCAGGGACATTACCGGAGATATGGCCGGAGAGAAAATTGTGAGCTAGGTTTAAGACTTGAAGATTAGTGAGGTTAGAAATCGCCGGCGGAAGTTCGCCGGAGAAAGAGTTGTAATGTAAGTAAACGGCGCGTAGCAAAGCACATTGAGCTAAAGAGCGTGGGATAGAGCTATTAAGATTGTTAGAGTGAAGACTTAACCTACGCAACTGGCGTAAGTTAGCAAGCTGGTCAGTTAACCGGCCACTGAGTTGTAGTCCAGGTAAGCGGAGTTCACGAACTCTACCTCCGTCACAAAGAATACCACGCCAATCACATGGCGCTAACGGCGTTGAAATATCCCAACCGTCTAATGCACCAAGTGGGTCTTCTAAATTCCTTTTGAATGACATTAACGCTGCCATTTCCGTTTCCGTTACATTATCGGCTAACGCCATGGAAAAATGGCTAACACAAAGCAATGTAAATGTAAATGCTGCTGCCACCATTAACGGCGGAGAGAGAAGAAAAGTAGCCGTTGACATGAGAGAAGAATGAAGGTGGCTGCTGCTGCTAATGGAGTATGTTTTGGCAGTGGGGAAGAGAGGAGCGTAAATATTGTTGTTTCAGAACAAAGAGAAGAAGAAGCAATACTGACAAGACTAACGCCATGTGTTACGCTGTGCACTGTGGCTTTGTGGGTGCCTATTGGTAATTTTATTTTTTTATTTTATATTTCTTTTTTCTTTTCTGTTGGTCCGTTTCTACCTTTTCCTTCTTCCCAGGAAAGTTGTTTTTATTAGCACCAGTAGGAAATTGATGAGAATTGAGATGATTTATATTTACCTACCATGAATAAGATTCATAATCAAAAACAACAATAACATTTTTATTTTTATAATTTCACGAGTGGGACGAAGCCAAATTTTTTATCAAGGGTGTTCTAACTTTAAAGAATTAAAAATAATTCTTCGATAAAGTATGTTTCATATATGTTACATATATCTCTAAAATTTTATATTTCACTTATATATATCGTATATTTTTTCAATAAAAGTTGGTCAATTGACTATGTAGCTTCGCTCTTGAGCCTGTTATAAGGTAGACAAATAATTTTTGATAGACCATTGACTAAAAAAACATATAGCCACAATATTTTTTTTAAAGAAACTACGAAAGTATAAAAAGTCATGAAAGAAAGACACATTAACAACAACAAAATAATAATAAGATAACTGAAGCCTTCTATACATAATTAGAGGCTTCGAATTTCAATCTTTTGAAACGAGAATGTTCCGGTTATAAATGGAGTCTTAATCAACAACTACACAATAACAACATATTTAGTATAATCTCACAAGTGGGGGATGGAGTCTTAATTATAAGAAATATTTGTATAAATTACTTTTATCCCTCTTAAAACGATAACCACTAAATTAATATCCCACTAATTAGATTAGTAATCGGTGAATGAGAAAAAAAAAAGTAATAAATTATTTCATGTTATTTTTAAAACATTAAATATTTTGAAACAAACTTAAACAACTGATATTTAAGAGTTTCGTTAATATCCATTTATGTAATTATTGGATTTTTTAGACGATATTGTTGGGCTAAACCAGCCACAAGATACTTTTATACGGTATGATATTGGCTTCTTCGTATTCAGCTCGTACTGTTTTTTTCCAAAAGGCCTCACGCCATTAAAATATTTTTACACCTCAATTTCTCCAGCTATCAATATGAAACTTTGTTCCTACGCTCAACAATCTTCCCTTAGAACTAAGTTTCACATGTCCCACTACCATGATCCACGGGTCTCTCGATACCCTTATATAGTGTGATGTTGTGCTTTGGGCCAAGCTCGCACGATTTTTCCCGAAACACCTCACACATTAAGAGATCCCTACACCTTATATGCAAACTCTCAGTCTATTCTGCTAACAATATTAAACTTTGTTTGCACACCCAACATATATCATTTGCTCACGCTATTTTATTTTATTTTATTTCATAATATTTTCTTTTTAATCTGTTTTGAACAAGAATGATAAATTTATATATTTAAAATGCTTTCAATTTCATATTTAATAATATGGTATTATAACCCCGCAAACTTTGTGAAATATTGTAAGAGGTGTTTGGTACGATGGATAAGTAAAAATAATTCTGAGATAATAATTTATTACTGTCTTATCCCTTATCTGTTTACTAATCCTGGGATAAATTATCCCAAGATTAAAAATAGTATCGAGATAACTTATATCTACCAGAGGATGGAATAATAATTTCAGAATAAAATAATAAAATTAACAATCTTAGGATTAATATAACATACCAAACCGTCAATAAAAGGTAATATCAAAACAACTAATTCTAACATAATTAATCTCAGTATAACTAATTGCAAGATAACTAAATGGAGTGATTATTATCATAGAGAAGTGGAGTGTTCAAGGGTCTGAAAAGAAGGTCACGCCTTTCTGCGGCTTTTGACAAAACTGGGTAATTCTTTTATCCATTGACAATATGGGGATGAGGTAAAAGGGGCATAGGCAATGATTAAATGCGAGTGGATTCTTTGTGTTTTTCTTGTTGAATGTCACGTAAGGAAAAACAACTCAACAAATGTAGTCCCATTAAAGCCGAAGTTCACTCCTTTAGCCTGATTGCTTATTATTGTTCTTTAAAGTTGGGATTGATTGATTAATTAATAAATAAAAAAGGTATTTTTCTTTTCATTTTAGTAATCAATATCGTGAATAGGAAGGGGATGTCTTTGGTGTCCAATTACTCTTTAGTCATTGCATTTTTCATCTCCATCACCTTTAAGTTGTGAGGATGTTCAATGCAACAAACAAATTTTTTGGACCACTCTTCACTAGCATGCACTAGTAAAAAAAAATATTAGCGACAAACAAATTTTGTTGCTAAACAGAAAAATTTATTGGTAATCCTATTTTGCGACACATTAACGACATATTATTAAGAAGTTTTGTTAGCTACGAGCTATTCAGCAATAAATTAACGACGAAGTTTGTAGTTAAGTCTGATTTTTTTTTTTTTTGTAGCGTCATCACCCACTCGATTCATATGGTTGGGATATGAGATGTTTAGTTGGTTTAATGTAGATATGGGATGAAGTAGTATACATAGATGTAGTTACTAGTACAAACTACAAAGATATAAATTGATGTCATATCTACTTCTCCCGACGAACCAACCAAATCGCAATAGTAATAATATTTTCCGTTCTCTCTAGTACAGATCTTACTTGTGAAATTATGTTGGATATGTTGTTGTTGTCTCTTTTCTCTCTAGTTAATTGGGGTCGTTTGGTTTGACACACTAACAAAAATGATGCCCACATAGAATTTTCTGTAAGTAATACCATGTTTAGTTGGATGCACAAGAAAAAATAATCATTGCATAACTTAGTGCAGTGTTTGGTTTGTCTTATTGAACTCATATTGATAATATTTGTATAAGTTATGTATTGATGTAATATTTTATGCATGATAAAGTATGAAATCAGAATACGCGGCTAGTAATTCATGTAGGAGTAACTAAACACAAAATAACGCTATTAGTAATTAATCTCCACATAACAATTTATTATTATTCACCACATAACTATTCGTACATTAATTAGCACCATATAAACACGCTCTACATCATAACCCGTGCATAATTAGTCCTTAAACCAAATTACTATCTTCGTTCACTTTTACTTGTCTACTATACTATATATTTTTATGTTTATTTGTCCATTCTAACAAATTAAGAGAAAGACAATTTTTATCTTGTTTATACTTATGATTAAATCTATTCTCAGATCATTTCCTAATTTTTTTGAAATGCTATTATTGTTATTATTATGGGTACTATGGTAAAATATTGGGACTGAATTAATGGGATATATAGCCCAATAATAAGGAAAATTAGCAATAAAATAAAATTGCAATCTGTAATGATTCTGTGAACACTTGTTACTTGTCCATTTCTGTATTAATGATTTCATTATTTATATAAAAGAAAATTTGACCGAAAACAAAACACAAATTAAAACATTTAGAGAAGGTGCGCAAAATTGGGCACGGCATAATAATTAAGCAATGCAAAAACATTATGATAAAAGTACGGTGAGATTTTCCTTCATAAAAGGAATTTAAGTTTGTCGTTTTTCTTCTTGTACTTGGAGAATGTTAGATTGAAATTGCCTTCAAATTTTGTCAATAGCGATATGTTTAATGCCATCTGGTTTTTTGTGTTTGTCAAATGGAGTTGTAGAATTGGTCCGACATTGCAAGTAACTTATAAAGCTCTATTCTGACCTTTTTTTGAAAGCAAACAATAGTAAATTGAAGAGGAATTCTTTTTATGGAAGTCAAATTTTAATAGGTTAATAATGGCGCGTGAGTTGTTCGTGCGATCGTTTTGAGCTTTAAGGTTTCGTTCAGTAATTCGAGGTCTTCAGTAACTTTCTATTGTGTATTATGACTTGCGTGCATGGTCTAATTTAAATTTCGAATGTGTCGGAATAAATTTGAATGAGTGGTTCTCACATTATATAGGTAACAACGTAACTAACACGAAAAAGTGAATTCCTAACAAGAAACATGGATGGGTGATAATCCACTGAAAAAGCCTCAGACAACCGACCAAGAAAATACTAAAGTTACTGCCTCTATCACCTATCCTCCCTTGTGAAATATGTTCCTATAATTAATTCTTCGGCAAAGGGTCAAATATACCCTTCTACTATGAGAAAATATTTAAATATACCTTTCGTTATATTTTGGGTCCAAATATATCCCTGACATAATACTATTGGTTAAAATTTACCCCTCTTCTGTTAAGCTTGTCCAAGGTGGACATCCAATCCTACGTGGCACTGATATTTGATGAGGTGGGTGACACATGGCATCCCACTTCTACCCCCTAATCAATATATAAAAGACTAAAATTTGAAATACAATAGTTTTTATGTTGGCGGTAATGGTGGCAATAGTGGTGGGAGCAAGGAAATTTTAGTGGTGGAAAAAAAAATAGGAGGGATAAAATGGGTTAGGGGCACTGAGGTGGCAAGCCATGTGCCATCCGCCTCATCAAATGTCAGTGCCACGTAAGATTGGATGTTCACTTAAGACAAACTTAACGGAAAAATTGTGTATTTTAACCAATAGTATAAAGATAGGGGTACATTTGGATTCAAAGTATAGCGGCACAAAATTTGATCACGCCCAACAATGCCTTATAAAAAGGACAATGCGGACGTTGCAAATATAACCTGAGTATTATGCCCAGAGTCGAATCCACAGAGAATTAACCTATCAATCACTATCTTTAGACCTACTAAACTCTTTAGAGTCAATTTCCCAAACGTTGAGAATCACAGTTGATGGTGTTTTTAATAACTAAGATTAACAGTAACTAATAGCTGTAAATTAAAGATGCTAAGCTGTAAACAATAATGAGAAAGTGCTAAGGTAATGATTTCCCCTATTGATGGAACTCCTTCTGTTTATGCTTCATACAAATTTACCAACACATCTCTATCAATCATGAACGCTCTTCTTACCGTAAATCTCTCCCGAGTAATCACAGTAATTTACTAGTTGCACTCTCCCGAGATACACTAGCTTGCTTTATTTAACACAATTCACTTTAGATTACA